AAAAAAAAAAAAAAAAAAAAAAAAAAAAAAAAAATTATCAAAGTATCTCTTCGCTGTTCTTTCAACACGCCACACGACACGTGGTTGTATCGCAGCTCTCTCGAACACAAACTTTCCGCTTGAACTGCCTATTTCCCAATCGTATCTTCGAGTCTTTTCCGATTGAGCTGCGCGTGTATAAAAGCGTTCGCTGAGTCGTTAGAACAGATATCGTCGGCGTTAAAAAACAAAAAAAAACAAAAAAAAAAAAAAATTATACGTTCGTCGTTCGGATCAACGGTTCACATTCGAGACCGCAGAAGCAATTGTCTATGAGATAACGCTCATAACCTCTGTCACATCTCGTAGGAGCAACGTTGGGCCGTGTCTTGAGATCTCTCGCACTTCGACGTAGCTGTAATAACGTTAAGATGATCGATGTTGTATCGACCACATTACGCGTTTCTCATGAACGGAACGTCGCAAATCTACGCCGATCACCTATTATCTTTTTATCCTCTTGCGAATGTCCGTTTTTCTTGCGATATATATCCTCGACGTTCCGCTTCACGGACAACCACCAAGAGCGTCAAAAATCACGGCGTGCACCACGGACGACGGACTGTTAGACAAAATGCGTAATCCCGAGTTAAACTAGGAACATTCGTGCTCTCAGAAAGAACCAAAATGGCTGGTAGAACTCGGCGCTTAGGACGTCCCAATTGAGCGGAAATCCACAGCGGGACGAAATGCGCGGAACCAGCGCGACCAATCGTAGCCGCAGAAAAAGCGAAGGAAAGAAAACGGAATGGCTATGATTGGTCGAGCTGGTTCCGTGCATTCCGTTTCGCTATGGATTTCCGCTTGGATGGGACATCGCCATAAGCGCTGAGTCATCGATGGTCATCTACGCACAACGCAGCGTGTAGTGAATTATGAGGACGCGTTGCATCAGCCATGTTGGTTGGATGTGCCGTAATTCTACTGTGAATATTTTTGTGGACAATTTTAGCATATATATTTTTGCTAACATCCTTTATATCTACATTTAGACACAGACTGGCGTATGAACTAACCGATTTCTCGGTTCAAGAGCCACAAACGCACCAAAACCAAAACCACAACGCAGCGTGCTGCGTGATCACAGCTAGCGGATCTCGCGGAATTAATTAATCGCGTTGAACAAGCAACCAACGTGATTGGTTAATTCCGCGAGAATTAACCGCGATCTGTGATCCGCATGGTTACGTTCCAAAATCTTTGTTATTAAAAAATTTGTTACTTTGGTTATTAAAAATTACTATATTTTATAATAAATAATATATTTTATGGAGAATGGCATCGAATTAAGTGTAGTAGCGGAAGCAGTTCTGGATAATTTGAGTCAAGCCCCTTGCACAATGGAAGGAATAGCTATAGCGATAGAAATAACACAGTTTTAGATACAGAATTCCAAAGCCTCTTGCACAATGCGAGAGAATAGTGCGATAAGCAATAAAAACAGAATTCCAATTCGTCGGAAAATTTATCGCTATTGCTTAATCCATTTTCTGATCTGCATTGGTACATGTTTAGTTTTGTGTATTAGATTCCGCTGTTCCTACCGTTATTTATAAATATAAACTCTTTACAACTGGTATTATTTCTATCGCTATCGCTATTCCGTCCATTGTGCAAGAGAAATTTTCAGTACTTCCAATAATAACGAAACAGGGGGATAGACGACGGTTATATGATGAGCGCTTAAGCTGAGTATACACATAACGAACAAACGCCGAACGAACAGCGAACGCGAACGTTCGTTATTATCATTCGTCAGATGTAGACGCTAAAACAAATGCGAACAGAACATTCGATTCGCATTCGGATCGGTTCCCTCATGAGGCGGTATATCAAAGAAAATTCCTGCTCGATATGAGTGCGCATACGTTTTGTTCGCTGTTCGCTATTGTTGACGCGAATGTTCCGAACGTTCGCGCTCGCTGTTCGTTCGGCGTTCGTTCGCTATGTGTATACCCAGCTTCGCAGAGCCCGCTCACCGCGTGCTTTTTAATATGTTGAACACATGCTCGGTTTGCATGATTTATAAGTTTGATGTTGCATTACAAAAAATACTAAACATTTGTATTAATGTATGGACAAAGGTTCGGAACCCTAGATCGAATATATATTCGCGAAAAATCAATAATTTAAATATTTTCTCTTCGACTCGAAAGTTTGAATGATTCTGCGTTGATAAAAAAAAAAACATTAAAAAATCTTTAATAGTTTCGAAGATATAAGCGTTACAAAAAACTTGCTCGACTGCGCAGTTATATTAGTTTTTCAGCGAGAAAATGGTGGCTTGTGTAATCTACGTGATTTTATGCGATTAACCTAAGAAATATATAAACGGTCGTGTGAGCCGTTTGTTGGATGTTGTTCGGAAAGATGCGTGTATATATATATATATATATACATGTATTTATATATATATATAAAATACACACGTCTTTCCGCACAACCTCCAACGAACGTTGACCGTTTATAATCGTATGATTATATATAAAAAAATTTTTTATCGGGTATTTATCAAATTAGCTAATCAATCATAATTACTGATATCAAATTATAGTAAATCAAACATAATTCCGCTGATCAAATTAGTAAATCGAACATAAAATCTATGAACTTGTTTGCGTCTTTGGAACGCGTCTCTAATGTGAAATAATCTGTAATTTCATTTTCTATCGGCGCGATATCTAATAAATACGATTATATTATTGAACACTTAATAAGAAAACTAAAATTTTTTCATGCAAATCGTGTAGGTATATTACAAAAAATATTATTTTTGCGAAATAAATACCTGTAACTACGACTACTTGAAACAGCTTTGAATGAAGATCGATGGAAAACAGGAACGAGGAATCTTCGCGACCCAATATTCTGATATTGAAGAGGCTGTAGCGCATGCGCGGCGTTTATAACGTCACAAAAGTTAAGGCCTGTTCTACAATACAGTCGTAAGTCGTAAGAAATTGACCAATCACAATCGATTATTCTTTTGTAATTGATCCGTGATTGGTCAATTTTGTACGATTTACGACTTACGACTGTATTGTAGAACAGGCCTAAATAGTGCATGCTCTCTCTCCAGGCGACACTATGGGTGCGTTCAAGGAGCGTGCTATCAGCGCTATTGCATCATTCTATCTTTATTGCTCAGTAGATGTAAAACAAAGATAGAATGACGCAATAGCGCTGATAGCGTGCTCCCCGAACGCAGCCTATATGTCTGTTCGTTTTACTTGAACTGGCCGCTCTAGGTCAGAGTTTATCTTCTTTACTCTACGTTGGAAAAAGAAGGATAAACTCTGACCTAGAGCGGCCAGTTCAGGTAAAACGAACAGACATTATGTTAAGGCCATTCTACATAAGAATTATTGCCAACACAAGTTTCAGATCTCGCGGAATTGACCATTCACGTTTGTCAAATTAGCCAATCGACTTAGGTGATTGGTTAATTTTTCGAGATCAGCGATCTGCAACTTGCGTCTGCGTCTTATGTAGAATGGCCTTTAAGGCCAAAGAAAATCTCACAATTGAGTAAAAAAAGGATCCTATTGGAAGTAGCGGAAGCAGAGAGAAACCTGAGAGCGGCCATCCTAATGTAATTTTTTACGACGGTTTCAGCCGCCGGTTTTAGCCGTATTTCCACAAAAGTGGAACTCAAAGGCCGTTCTACATTAAACGCAAGTAGCAGATCTCGTGGAATTGACCAATTGCAGAGTCAAATCAGCCAATCGACCAACGTGATTGATCAGTTCCACGAGATCTGCGACTTGCGTTTAATGTAGAACGGCCTTTGAGTTCCACTTTTGTGGAAATACGGCTAAAACCAGCGGCTGAAACCGTCGTAAAAAATTACAATAGGATGGCCGCTCTCAGGTTTCTCTCTGGCGGAAGTAAGCAAATGTGCGGGAACAGAGGCTGCGTTCGTTTTTTAGTGGCAGTACTGAAATCTATAGATTTATGTCACGTATACTATAGATTTTTCAGTACTGCCAGTAAGGGAGAAATCAGATGGTGTGGAACGTGCGTAATGCGGAAGTGTCGGAGCGTTCGTGATTGGTCGTGACTTGATTCCGTCGATCCTGCAATCAAGTCACGACCACGAACGTTCCGCACGTTCCGCACCATCTGACTTCTCCATAATAACCGAACAGGGCCAGAGTACAATGGGTGCGTTCAGACAACTGAACAATTGCACAACGGTTGAGAGATAATCACTTATGATTGGATCATATTTTTGGAACCGTACCAGATTTTGACAGAGGACACTGGATTTAGACAACTCAACGGTTGAGAGATCATCACTTATGATAAAACTATTCTTCAAAATCTGCAGTGGTTCCAAAAGTATGATCCAAACAGAAGTGATTATCTCTCAACCGTTGTGCAACTGTTGAGTTGTCTGAACGCACCCACTGTGTACTACATGTAGTTTTTTCCAACTAAGATTGGCGCTACTGTCATTAGTTCTAATTTATACGTTGTGTAATCTTGGTTTTATGAAGTTGTATGGTATGTGAATTGTGATTTTGTCTAATAATTAAATTTTTATTAAGTGAGATTAAGTTAGCTTTGATGACTATTTAACATTTGAGAAACAGCTTCAGAAGAAAGCTAAAGCAACGATTAATTGAAAAAAATTTTCTAGTAAGCACTTATAACAATACAAAGGTTATATCGTATTTCGCGAAATAAACTTTAAATCTTATATTTATATACTTCATATAAAGTTTTATATTTATATTTCATATAAAAGTATGTAGGTAACAACATGAAACATTGCAACTGCGTGCAAGTATTCTTAACAGTTATCTATTAGTGAATAAAAATTCCACACAATTTGATTGCTTTTTTTAAATTCAAGCATTTACATATGTGCACATACACAAATGTTTAGTCATTTTAGATGATTTAGATGTCAATTTTATTTTTTTTATTAAAAGCAAGATATGTTCCGTACACCAAAGCCAACTATGCTCGCATCTACCGCATCAACAGTTACAAAACGTCCAAAGCAAACACAGCAGAATTGTCTATATACGTCTTACGAATGTACACAACCTTGCTTAGAAGGGTATATGTATTGCTCCAAGCACATTCTTGAAGATACTAATGCACCTTATAAACAATGTGCTTTTGTGTACAATACTAATGGAAAGAAATGTCAAAATCCAGCACTGAAGTTAGACAGAAGAGATATTTCGTAAGTATATATGATAGTAGAGTCTTTATCAGAAAACAAATTTTTTTTTTTACAGAAAATAGTAGTTGTGCATTTACTTTTTTTTTTGCAGATATTGCACTGAACATTCTAGAAAAGCACAATTTGCAAGAATCAAGTCATCATCGAGGCGTTCTTTACCACAAACACCTGAGATGTTGTTACTTAATTTAGGTCATTATGTCAAGCCTGCTGATTCTAGTGCTGAGGATACAGAAGATGAAAAAGGAAAAATCAAAGTTTTAGATCCTTTCAGTGAGCAAAATTTTAATTTAGTTATATTGTGTGTAATTTTATATTTACATACTTTTTTCCACATATACATTTCATTAATCTCATGTGTTTGTTTTGTAAAAAGTATATACAAAACAAAGACATGTATATGTCTGTTATATAAAGAGTATACAAAGTATGTAATATATAAAACATCTCTAATATTAACTGCAATGATAACTGTTGTCAATTTAAATGGAATGCCAATTAATTATTGTTGTTTTTCAGCCGAAGTTGATGCTTATAGAATAAATGCAAGTGGAAGTGACATTTTAGATTATGCCAGTTCATCGGAAAGTGATGTTGAACCTACAGTAGTAAATGATACTTTGAGAGGAGTTTATCTCGACGACAGCGATAATGAAAGTTTGCACAGTCCACAAGAAGATCCTCTAAAGTAAGTATATTCTATAATCTGATTGAACATGCTAAATTTGTGTTTTGATATAATTATTGATAAGTATATTTTCACTATATCAGTGTGTTTTTTAAAATATGTTGCTAGTGTGCTTTAGCTTGTGCACTTTGTCTAAAAAAAGATGATTTTTATCATTTAAATTCTAACACTAAAACTTTTATTTATAACTTTATATGTGATATTTATTTTTTCTAACAGTCATTCTGTGGTTTCCTAAAATATTCTCTAAGTTTTGTGTTTTTTTCTAGTTTATATAACAAAAGGAAGCATAAGTTTTCATTAAACATTAAAAATCTTACAAAAAAGAAAAAATAACAGCTTTGTTAGAACGCTATGTGAATATAACAGAATTTAAGAATAAGTTTTTGCTTTTTATGAGTTTTTTTATTAATTGAGACTTTTTACATTATTGTTTACTAATTTTTTTATGTTGCCTATTTTTCTTTTTACAGTAAAAAAACGTGTTTTTCTTTTAATAATAATTTCGTTATAGTTGCTTTTTGCAAGGATAAGATACTATTTACTCCCTGAATTATTAGTATCAATTTTTTAAGGCATGCCGGCATCTTCACGACAGAAGAAGTGATTTATATCGCGAGAGAAAAACTTATTAGACTTCAATCTCTTTATATCGATCAGTTTAGGAGATTGCAGTACATATTAAAGGAAAAAAGACGAAAATATCTTCTCGCTTTGAAGAAAGAAAAAGAAACACTTTGTAAGTGTATATTCGAATAATGTTAAAACTGTTTCGCCTTGTATGTCGCTAAATACGTCACCTACATTGTTGTACAGGTAGCATACACGATCAGCCTAAAGAAACGGTGAAAGAAAAAAAGCTTTACGAGAAACTGAAAGCTTTAAATCGTTATCACAGACGAAGCGGCGTTGAAGCGATACTCTATAGAAAATCATTAGAACGTCGTGCGCAGGTAATATCGTCGTAAATGTTTACAGTTTGTCCGGAAAGTTCCCGGACTGATTTTTTCTAGCGCGGGTAAGCGGCGCTATCGAGCGGTCAACGCTGGAACTACTTAGTATAGACCTTCCT